AACATGATTGCGCCTTCAAAGAATAATTGCTTTTAAATTATATTGTAATTACGTGCGTTTTGAAACCCTTGAGGGAGGACCATGAAGTCTAAAATGTACCAAGTATCTCTAAGATCATAAATTAACCCATTAAAGGGGACCATTGGTAAAAACAGTTTTCTTTTAATGTAGATTGGTTGGCACGACCTGGCATTTTTCGACCCTACTCTCTACGAAAGCTTACGGAAAATCATCGTCGAAGCCACGTCCCCAAATGCCGAGCACATTTTCAAGGGCCTAGACTTGACATTTAGTGTCCAGGCCACTGTGGAGGAAGGCGATGGCGGCCAAGTGGAATTGATCAAAGGTGGAAAAAATGTTTCTGTGACGCCATCTAACGTGTATGACTATGTACGACTGTATGCCGAGCACAGAATGGTGGGCCATAACAAGAAGGCGCTCCAGGTAAATTTGGATGGTATGAAGTATCACTTGAATGACTCTTCTGCGTTTTTAAATATTTTCCTGTAGAGTATTGGAAGTATGATAGGTTAGTCAAACACGCACCATGTGAACCAATCAGATTCAAGACAGAGACAAGCCGTTACGTGGTCAATCGCGTTTTCCCGCGCTTTAGGGAGTTTTCGATCTCATTGGATCCTTCTTATTTTTGTCTTTATTCTGATTGGCTTCTTCTGGTTTTGCAAAGTTTAATTGTCAAAAGTGCCTCAAAATATTCTTACCAAACAGTGTAGAGTACAAAATGTTTGTTCGTGCAGAAGTTTAGTTCCTATTTTTAGGGACTTGCAGAGGTTTTGCACTCAATTTGTGCTTCACGTATGAGTTGAAGAGATCTGTCTTTGTTCAAATGGCTTTTTAAGCTGTGATTTGATCTGCAGTGTATCGAACGCTGTGTTTACATTTTCACATCCTGGGAATTAAAACTGTGTTACTCTTGTTGAAGGCTCTACGAAATGGAGTATTGGATGTGATTCCCTTATCTGCATTTGATAACCTGACAGCTGAAGATTTCCGCCTGTTGTTGAATGGTTGTGGTGAGGTGAACGTACAACAGTTGACGAGCTACACTTGTTTTAACGACGAGACTGGAGGTATGAAATGAACGTGATGATGTAACATCTTATCACAACATGTTTGTCATGTTATTCGTTGCGATGCTGTCCTGGTGTGACGTCATGGAGTACAAAGTTATGTCTTGAGGTTTGATTTGACGTCGTTCAACGCCATGTGGAGCTAAGTCGTATGACATGATTTACGATGTGACACCATGTGGTTTCATGAGCCACACTTGATTCCATGAGATGGGAGATATCTGAAAGTAATAGTCAAATTGCCTGCGGTCTCGTCATTTGAAGTGTGGTGTCATTTCAAGGCACAGGATGTTATTGAGTCAAATAACATTTCGCCTGTTTTTGTGCCACGTTCTATGATTTGCCGTTAATTATCATATCGTTTGGCATGATGTGATCTCAGATGTCATGCCATGTTGATGCGATGTCGTTGTGTCGTCATGTGTCACGCGGTTGTTTGCATTTACCCTGCATCTTTCTCTTTGCTCTCGGTAGGTGCTGGAGCTGAAAAGTTGCTCAAGTTCAAGAAGTGGTTTTGGTCCATTGTTGAAAAGATGAGCAATTCGGATAGACAAGACTTGGTGAGCATTGAAGCTATGGTACAAATGTAAAGAACGTAAAAAAAACCTACAGGGCACGTGAAATAACCACACTTCTACTGCGTTGAAATTTCGTGGGGATGTTACTGAAAATAGTAACCTTGTGGCCGTGGAAAGGGAATTTGTAAACGCTCGTCAAAGACTTGTCTTGTGTGTTTAAAACGTTTATATGAATGATAATAAACAGCTGTTTCTAAACCATATCTAAGTTTAGAACACACTACTCAGAAACCAGTTTTTGACGTTATTTAATGGCTACGAATTTAATCCAGCTGAAGAAATGTTACTTATCTAAAACCAATCGTTAAAGAACGTATATTTCATAGTTGACAGTTTTGGTTCACAGTTGATCCTCTAGCTTGAGTAGCTTATGACACAGAGCTCTTTATTTGAAGGTCTATTTTTGGACATCAAGCCCAGCACTCCCTGCCAGCGAGGAAGGTTTCCAACCTAAACCATCGGTAACAGTCAAACCTGCGCATGATCATCAGCTTCCCACTGCTAATACGTGTATCTCCCGGCTGTACATACCACTCTACTCTTCACGTGCTATTCTTAAAAGCAAGCTTCTACTGGCTATCAAGACCAAAACGTTTGGATTTGTATAAGAGATATCTGACAAGTGTTGACCAGTGCAACCATAAACAGAAGAGAATGGAAGCCAAGGGAATGAACATGAAGGAATCAGTCATCCCTTAGAAATCTCCCGCTCCGTTTCATTCTTTTGATTTAGACAATTTCAAAGTGTTATCCCTTAGCACCTACCACTAATATTCACATTCTTCTAATGATACTTACAAGGAGAATTTGTTTAACAATCAGGACCTTCTTGAATCAGTGATCATTTCCATAATTCTCATAACCTTTATAATTAATTCAAGGGTGATACTTGTAAGGAGAAGTTAGAAGCCAGTTTCTCTAAGGCGATAAAGTGAGATCTTTCCGCATAGTAGATCGTCAACCGTGCTGTTTATAAATTGTATTAAGAAACACCAATAAAGAATTAGTTGAAATTGTGCCAGGTTTCATAGAAGTTTTAATTTAATTTAATCTTATTGTATGCTGCTTCATTTTTGATAGTTAAAAAGTGTATATTTTTTCATTCATACATGGGAGACATGTAGTTAAATTTTCTTAATAGCATTAGTAGCAAATTAAAAGTGGCAATAGGGCTGACATTTTTGTATGCAAATGTAATCAACAAGGTTAACCCTTAACACCTTTGCATTAGTATGCAAGTTCATTGTACTGTTCTCTATACATTTCCTATGGTACTTTCAAAGAGAATTTGTCTAACAATCAAGAGTTTCTAGAGTTATAAATCATTTCCTTTATTCTCATGACCTTAATTTTTAATTCAAGGGTGCTATTGTAAGGAGAAATTAGATGCTTGTGACTTTTGAGGGTTAAGGAGTAATAATCATCAGTGATGATGATGATGATGTGATGACTATTTCATGTATCATGCAAACTGAACAAGTCATTCATCAAATGTTTATTTTCAAAACCTGTTTTCATAATTTTGCTAACTAGCCCTTCCCTCTTCTTTATCAAGTTACATATGCACCAATGTTCACCTTCTTCCTACTGTTGCACACTTCAAGCCCAAAAAAATGGACAAAATTATCAAACAACACTCCTTTCTTTGAAACTACCATTTAGCAGGGTCACTGACCAATTTGACTGCAGTAAACAAGCGAAGAATTCCATCCACAATCTACATTTCCAGCAATCTAATCAGGGTCTTAAACCCTACCCTCTTCTCCATTAAAATACTCCTTTGAAACTCTTTGCATGTTATCAGTAGAGACCAACTCAGAGGTGTGAAGCTATGTTGTCATTTGCACTCTTAAGATCTCAAAACTATCTTTCTCAATGGAAGCCACAAACTTATTTTGGTGGCCATCACTGATAACTTAATGTAACATCAGGCCCATCTCCTTCCTTATTTTCTAAATTCTCACAACTGTTAAGCTTGATAGTATATTTAAATTGTAAGGAGAAATTTAATACTGTTAACTCACTGGCAGTAAAAGAGTAACTTATTAGGCCCAGACACAAGAATCCTGCATCAATTTGTTACAATCCTTTTGTTACAATGTTATGTAGAGAGTCTGACTCCAAGATGTCCTTGTGTTTTTTTGTCCATGTGCTTCAGTGCTTCCCTCTCTTCTCTTCTTCTTTGTTGTTCCAGAGCACGTCGTTCTCTCTCTGCCTGTTTTCTTTCTTTCACTAATTTCTCTGTTTCCCACTCAATGTCTTTCTCAGAAACAGCTTCTTCATCCCATACTGAAGTAGACTCATCATTCCAAGTACCAAGCTCAGGCTGAAAATAATTGACATCACAACTTTGTCACAAAATTGGGAGAGGTTTTAATGAATATATCATTCACAGTTTACTGTTCATGATTTTGTGCTAAGACGGCTGAATATCGCATTGTATAATAGGCCATCTATAGATAAAGCAAGTAAAGATTGGGTTATTTAATGTTCTGTGCATCACTGTGAATGTCTCACTTGTATAGCTTACCTCTACAGGGCTATAACTCATATCAAAGTTAAAGCGACTTGGTGTAGTCTCTGGGCGTGTATTATAACCACCATCAGGGTAACCTTTATTCTTCTTGAGAACAATCTATAAGCAAAGGAAAAAAGGGCGACTTTTTTAGAGCAATTCTGCAAGGTGCCACAAGATAAT